GGGGGGGGGGGGGGGGGGGGGGGGGGGACAGTGTGTGTATGCATACTTGAGAGTGTGTGTGTGTGTGTGCACATTTGAGAGTGTGTGTATGTGTGTGTGCACACTTGAAAGAGTGTGTGTGATTGTGAGAGAGTATATAAACCTATGGGTTAAATAATTTCATCCAAGATGTTTGTTTATTTACAGATACATTCTATTTTGTTCAAAAAACACACAATTTGTAGTCACAGTCAGTCAGGTGGCATCTTATAAATTCCAGTTTTTGGAATAAAACCAGCCTGAGTCCAAGTTAAAACCCTGAGGCAGATTCTGAACAAAGCCTCATGCCTACAATTCAGTGTCTGATCTAAGATGTCACCTTTTGAATATTCCTATGGCTCTGCCTGATTGTCATGCCAGCACTGACATTGACTTTATAGACACTTTACACACTGTCTAACACTCTTGGTCACCTGCAAAGACTTATTATCTGACACTCCACTCACTTCAGTTGTATGAGCTTTTGATCTCTCAGCCCTTGATCTATGCCTATAAGCTCTGTGTCTGTGTGCTCTTCTCTCTCACTGCACCTGACGGAGGGGCTGTGCTGTGAAAGCTTGTGTGCTTCTGAATAAAGCTGTTGGACTATAACCTGGGGTCATGTGACTTCTGACTTTGTCCACCCCTGTCCAACACCGGCATCTCCCATATCATGAGAGATTTCAGTGTAGCCTATTGAATGTAGTGCTGCTGTTAGCATGAATTCTGCACCTAAAATGAACTGCAGTATTTGCACCAGACAGGTACATGCATAGTGCAACCAACCCATGCATACAGCAATATTCTACTTTGGTGCTCTATAATGATTACTCTCAAAATATTTTCACCTACCTTATGCTGCCTGAGGAGGAAAGGCAGGAGCATCAGCATTCCCCCATCATGAACAATCCACCAGACATCAATGTAACCCTCAGAATACCTCTCCTGGTTTGATGGAAATGCAGTGATGTTCTTAGCCACCAAAAGAGCCAAACGTCCTGCTGTTGTTTCTCGAACCACTTCTACAAAATCAAGGTTACAAGGTTGCTGCATTAGTCCTGCATAATTATCATATGTCTTACATTTAAACTGTCTTTTGGAAGCATATTATTATTTTCATTAACCCATTCTGAAAATAGCACAACAATTAAAATGATGGAGTAGATTCAGAGAAACACGTGGAGCTAAGGCAGCTAAGTGAATTTAAGGTTCAAGTTAACCTTGAAGCAACTGAATATATTGCATGCTTGGGGCTCTGACAGTGCTTATTTCCAATTCTGCGCCTTTGAAAAAATTTTAAAATTCTCAAGGAATTCCTTCGGTCTGATTTCACATACAAGACCCCTTAAATTACCCATAATATTATGTTTTGCTGATAGTTGGCAACGCTGCAACAGAAAGAAATTAGCTGACATAAATGTTACTACTCAAGGGCATCATCTCAACTGGAGTAACATAAAATAAATAACTATGTATGCTGGAGATCTCAAACAGAAATTGCTTGTGAAACTGTGCGGGTCTGGCAGCATCTGTGGGAAGAAACCAGTGTTAATGTTTGAGTTCAGCGACTTATTATCAGAACTGTTAGCAGCTGGTAAAAACTGATAATAGTGCTGAAGTTGAAGTTGTGGGGGAGATGGAATTGGGGAGAGGTGAGTGGATAAATGGAGATGGAGCCCAGAAAGGGGTAAAGAAACAAGGAGATTATGGATAACAAGTTAGGGCAGAAGAAAAGCTAATTAAGTGATAATAAGATGGTGAAAATGGGTGAGCTGTACTGAATGCAACCCATATAATGTAATAATAGGCTTAGGGGTTGGGGAGAATGGGTGACTGAAGTAACCGTAACCATGTCATAACCATCTCAGAGATAGTAGAAACTGCCAATGTTGGAGTCTGAGATAACAAGGTGTAGAGCTGGATGAACACAGCAGGCCAAGCAGCATCAGAGGAGCAGGAAAGCCGACGTTTTGGGTCTGAACCCTTCTTTTTCCAAAGAAGGGTCCAGACCCGAAATGTCAGCTTTCCTGCTCCTCTGATGCTGCCTGGCCTGCAGTGTTCATCCAGCTCTTCACCTTGTTATCTCATGTCATAGAAGTAATGGGTGTGGGGGTGGGTAAAAAAGCATAGAAGGATGGAATCAGCCTCTAAAGTTATTGAAGTCTACAATATTCGCTGTTCACAATGTGGTCTCCTCCAATCCACACCCACATTGTGACAGCAAAAATGACCCTGAGTTTCCAGTTGCCTGCCACTTCAACACACCACCATGTTCCCATGACAACATTTCTGTTGCAGGCCTGCAGCAGTGTTCCAGTGAGCCTTAGCACAAGCTCAAAGAACATCATCGCATTTTCTGTTTGGGAACCCTGCAGTCTCTAGATCTCAACCACAGTATTTCACAACTCCTTATGCAATCCCAAGCATTTTCATTCTTTTTGAAAAGTATTATATGAGACTTTCCTTTTCCCTCGTATTGGAGAATTTGTGTTTATTTACACTGTTAGGATTGTTACCTTCTGTATTTCTTCCTACGTCACCATTATGTGTGCAATGTTTTATTCTACTATTGCACAGGATGATTTGACAGAGGCAAATTTAAAATCTAGTGATTTTGTGTATAAAGCTTCTATTTCACTCTAATTAAAGCAAAGTACTGGAGATGCTGAAATCTGAAATACAAAACATAAGATGCTGGAGAAACTCAGCAGGCCTGACAGTATCTGTGAAGAGAGAAACAGGGTTCATGCTTTGAGTCCAAAGGCTCTTGTTTGGAACAGAAGGGAAGAGTCACATTGGATTCGCGACGTTAACTCTGTTTCTGACTTCATAGATCCTGCCAAACCTCCCGAGTTTCTCCAGCACTTCCTATTTTTATTTCTATTTGGTACTTATTGGCAAGGAATGGTTGACAAATCAAGTCCCAACTGTACGTTCCACATGTTTAAAGAAAGTTGACACTAGTGTTCTTCTACCTCTGTTTCTCTAGAATTAATTTTCCTGTACCTTTACTTCTAAGTGTGTTTTATAATCGGATTCAGAATGCAGGGACAATCAGTCTGGAATCCTATGGTTTTACAGAATTATACATACCAATTATATTTTTCCATGTTCTTGGATCGTCAGATTGCCTCCAGGCCCTTGGCCAGCCCATCAGTACAGTGTTGTGCTGCATTCCTCCCAGACCACATGACTGGATGAGATGGGACATGCCATCACGCAGGTTGGATGATACAACGGCTTGACAGAACCCTTTCACCTTTTCCACTTCCATGAGACGTTTAACCGACTGCCCAGAAAGATATGGAGAGAATGAGCAGAAATGACAAGGAATAGGAAGAAGACAGACTGAGCAAAATCAACATTTGGAAGGCTGCTTGATAGAGCATGACTAGTTACCGATGCAGAGGATTAGCTTGAAGCCATTATTTAGAGCACTTACTTTAACAAACATCCATCCAGTAGGCTGGTCTGAGCTGAGTTTGTAAATAATTGCCAGTTGTCAAAAAACCCTTTCTCCAGCTCATTAGATTATGGTAATTATTGGCAAATTCCGGATCAATAGACTTGATATGTGTCTTAACGTCCTCACTATGGGAGTTTGGTTGCAGGAAGGGCATTAATTGAGCAGGACAGGTGGCAGGGAGGGACCTTGTCATCTTCCTACCTGTGACCAAATGCATGGTGGGAAGGTTTGAGGACAGCCTTCACCTCTCCATCAAAGTTCTTTAATTGGCAATTAATGCTCACTTAAGGACCTCATCCCATTGTCACTGGTAATTACATCAGCAGTGAGCAAATGGGAAGACCATGAAGGAAGACCTGAAAAGCCAAGCCTGTTGGAGTTTCTTGTGGGTTTTCAGAAGGCAGTCCATTGCTGATCAGTAGCTGATCTCAGGGTCTCAGCTTTGGGAATGGGGTGGACTTACAGAGAGCCACCCACACGCTCTTACTGCTGGTGATCTTCCTCCGCCAGACCGCCATCCCCAAACTCCTCCCTGACAATACACCTCCAGAAACACTCACTTGTGGCCTGGGTCCCTTGGCAATTCTGAATTTATGGTGAGTGCAGCATTGACAGCACCTAGCACTTCCCTGGTGGTGCTACTGACTAAGAAGAGCTGCCAACCTGTGGTGGCACTGGCACATGGCTCTTCTGATGCCAAGGAAAGTCCACCAAAACCCAGTTCAGAGCCTAATTGGACAGGCTTTTGGGAACCTGGTAGTGAGTTAGTCACCACTGAATTCCCAGAAACTGATCTACCTTTGTAGCCACTGTATACATAAGGCCAGTCCAGCTTAGGTTCTGGTCAATTGGATTTGATTTGATCTGATTTATTATTATCATAGGTTCCGAGATACAGTGAAAAGTATTGTATTGCATGTGAACCCAACAAATCATACATTACATAAGTACATCAGAGTAATAGAACAGAATGCAGAATATTGTGGTACAGCTACAGAGGAGGTGCAGAGAAGGATCAACTCTCGTATATGAGAGGTCCATTCATGAGTCTGATAAGTGGGGAAGAAGCTGTTCTTAAATCTGTTGGTATGTGTTTTCCAACTTTTGTATTTTCTGCCCAATGGAAGAGAGCATAATTGGGGTGGGGTGGGGGTCTTTGATTGTTTTGGCTGCCTTCCCAAGTCAGCAGGAAGTGTAGACGGAGTCACTGGAAAGAAGGCTGGTTTTGGTGATGGACTGGGCTGTGTTCACAATCCTCTGTAATTTTTTGCACTGTTAGGCAGAGCAGCTACCATACCAAGCTGTGACACATTCAGACAGGATGCTTTTTATGCTGCATCTATATAAATTGGTAAGAGTCATTGTAGACATGCTGAATTTTGTTAGCCTTCTGACGAAATAGAGGTGTTGGTGTGCTTTCTTGACTGTGGCGTTGATGTGGGTGGACTAGGATAGATCATCGGCAATGTTTACTCCTGAGAACTTGAAGATCTCGAATACGTCCACCTCAGCACCATTGATGCGGACAAGGGCATATCTTCCACTCCGCTTCCTGAAGTTGATGACCAGCTCCTTCATTTTGCTGACATTGAGGGAGAGACAGTTGTCTTTACACTATGCAACTAAGGTGTCTATCTCTTTCTTACACTCTGTCTCATCATTTGGAAATGGAGTTAGAACTGAATTTGGCCTCACCGTCGTGAGTGTTTTAAGAGTATAGCAAGGGCCTGAGTACACAGCCTGTGGGGCACTGGTGTTGAGGATTATTGTGGAGGAGGTATTGTCGCCTATCCTTCCTGACTACAGTCCGGTGGTCAGGAAGCTAAGGATCCAGTTGCAGTGCGGGGAGCAAAGTCCCGGGTCTCGGAACTTGGAGATGAGTTTTGTTGGAATTATGGTATTGAAAGCGGTGCTAAAGTCAATAAATAGGAGTTTGATTTTGGTGTCCTTCTTATCCAGGTGTTCTAGGGACTAGTGTAGAGCCAAGGAGATGGCATCTGTCATGGACCTATTGTGACAGTAGGTGAATTGTAGCAGATTAAGGCAATCTGGGAGGTTGGAGTTCGTGTGTGCCATACTAACTTCTCAAAGCATTTCATAATGATGGATGTCAGAGCCACTGGGCTGTAGTCATTAAGGCATGTTGACTGATTTTTTTTTTGGCACCAGGATAATAGTGGTCTTTTTGAAGCAGATGGGAACCTCACATCATAGTAAGGAGAGGTTAAAGATATCTGCAAATACTCCTGCCATCTGGTCCATGCAGGATCTGTGTGCATGGCCACGGATTCCATCTGGGTCAGTCACTTTCCGATGATGGTCATGATCTGTGTGCATGGCCACGGATTCCATCTGGGTCAGTCACTTTCCGATGATGGTCATCAGTATGTTGATAGCATAGTATCCAGCGATGCCATTGAATGCCAAGAGGTAAGTTTCTCTCTTGTTGGAGATGTTTATTGCTTGGAACTTGTGAAATGTGAATGTTACTTGCTATTTATCATCCTGAGCTTGTGTATTGTCCAGATGTTGCTGCATTTGGACACAGACTGCTTAAATATGTGAGGAGTTAATGTCGCGCAATCATTAGAAATGTGTCAATGCTGACCTTAAGATGGAGGGAAGATCAATGCTGAAGCAACTGAAGATGATTAGGACTAGTACACCACTCTGAGGAATTACTGCATAGATGCCATGGGACTGAGATGATTGACATCCAACAAACACAACCACCCTCCTTTGTGGTAGGTATGACTTCAAACACTGAGAGTTGGTGGTGGACGGTGTGGATGCTTGTGAATGTAATGCCAATAAAATGGATTTTTTGGCCTGGATGATGTCAAACTTCTTGAGTTATTGGGCCTGCACCCATCCAAACAAGTGGGGACTCCATCACACTCTGGACTTGTGCCTTGTAGATGGTGGGCAGGCTTTGGAGAATCAGGAGTTGAATTACTCGCTGCTGTACTCATAGTCTCTGAACTGCTCTTGTAGCCACTGTATTTATATGGCACGTCCCTTTAAGTTTCTTGTCAGTAGTATACCCCCAGATGTTGATAGTGGGGGATTCAGCGATAGTAATACCATTGAATGCCAGGACGGTGGTTGGGTTGTCTCTTATTGGAGATGGCTATTACCTGGCATTTGTGTGGTGTAAATGCTATTTGCCACTTCTCAGCACAGGCCTGGATATTGCCCAGGTTTTGTGGCATTTGACCATGAACTGCTTTAGAATCCGAGGAGTCATGAATGGCGCTGAACATTGCACTGTCATCAGCGAACATCTCCACTTCCGACCTTATGATGGAGGGAAGGTCATTGATGAAGCAGCTGAAAATAGTTGGACTTACGACACTACCCTGAGGAACTCCTGCAGAGATTTCCTGGAGTTGAGATGATTCACCCCCAACAACCATAACCATCTTCCCTTGTGCCAGGTATGACTCCAACCGGTGGAGAGTTTGCCCCCAATACTCATTGATTACAGCTTTGCTAGGGCTCCTTCCATCAAGTATAGCCTTGATATCTCACTTCATCTCTGGAATTCAGCTCTTTTGTCCATATTTGAACCAAGGCTGTAATGACATCAGGAGCTGAGTGGCCCTAGCAGCTTGATAGTACTATTGATGGCCTCTTCCATCACTTTACTGTTGATTGAGAACAGATTGATGGGGCAGTAATTGGCTGGGTTGGATTTGTCCTGCTTTTTTTGTGAACAGGACATACCTGGACCATTTCCCACATTACGTCGTAGGTGTCAGTATTGTAGCTGTACTACTGTAGCTGGATGTTCCCCCTTGAAGATAATTGTGGTGCCTCCAGCTGTGAATTGCTTAATTTTCCACCACCATTCATAACTGTATATGGTTGGACTGCAAAACATGAATATGATTTGCTGGTTGTGGGATTTCTTAAATCTAGGTGGAATTTTTCCAATCCTGAATGACTCAGGTAACAATAAAATATGGTGAGATCAGAAAAATTAAATTCTTATCATGAGAGAAAAAGTCTAATTTTGAACCTAAAATTTTAATGTCTAGATGAGAATCTTCCCAGTGAATGGCAAGAGACCGATTTGCATGCATTAACCTCTCATCATTGTGATTTTGCCTCAGCAGCTTGTTCTTTTCCCACATAATGGACAGAAGTGAGATATTAGGAGTTAGGAGACTTGAAATTCATTTATCCTGTTGCTGTATCTCAGCCAGCCTGATGGACAGTCTTTCATGTTTACCCTTTAATAATCATCAAATCTAAATGGATTCAAAAAGCTGTATGACCATGATGATTGGTTGTAGGGCTAGATTTTATTACCACCCCTGCAGAGTGTATCTTTGTCATGGGGCACATGAAATATGCTAGATGGCCTTCTCACCCAGCTCTGAACTCGTCATAGTGTCATATGGAAACAGGCCCTTCGGTCCAACCAGTCCATGCTGACCATAATCCCTAACCAAACTAGTCCCAACTGCCTGTGCTTGGCCCATATCCCTTTAAACATTTCTTATTCATATATTTATCTAAATGTCTTTTAAACATTGTAACTGTACCTGCATCCACCGCTTCCTCTGGAAGTACATTCCATACACAAACCACCTCTCTGTGTAAAAAAAATTGCCCCAAAAGTCTTTTTTCAATCTTTCGACTCTTACTTTAAATATATGTCCCCTAGTCTTGAAATTCCCCAATCTAGGGAAAGGACACCTGCCATTCACCTTATCTCTACCCTTCATTATTGTATAAACCTCTATTACGTCACCTGTCCCCCTCCTACGCTCCAGTGGAGAAAACCCCAGCCTATCTAGCCTCTCCCTGTAACTCAA